TGCTATCTCTCTCGGTGTGAGATGTAAGTGAAAGGGCTCTGCTAGACTTTCTTTTCATTATACTTTTCGCATGCAATCACTTGCATTTAGAGGCGTAATCTGTTTGATCTCACCAAGCAAGAAAGTGAACTTTGTAGTGTGATACCTCACTTTTTCATGTAGATCTGACACCTAAGCACCAACCAGCTGAAATTGTGAATAATGTTTTATGCTTTAGCAGTATTGATTGTTAGAGATCTGTTTCCATTTTAAAAGATCAGCAAATATATTGTGTGTACATTTATTTTTCCCTCCTGTGTCTTGATGTGTATCTGATTATGGTAATACAGTCCATTCATTCTTTTATGAACCAAATTGTGAAGCAAATTGTATGAAAATTCTATGAAAATGCAAAGAAAGCATCCATATGACTCTGAATTATGCAAAACCTGATATGAATGACGTATCTGCCCTTGACTATGGAGAAAATATTTATAATATGCATGCAGATGGCAATGCAGACAAGATGAAACCTCTCCACTTCAGAACAGTGGTTGGTCTTAAGGGCCGTTCACACCAAGGATGATAACTACTGTTTAACCATACAGTTTTAATAATCGTTCTAAGTCCACACCTCAGATATACAGTAATGATCCCAGCAGAGAGAAACAATACCGATGGAATCACTTTCAGAATGATTTTTTTTCTGGCTGATAAACGATAAAAATTATTGTTGCCCGATTACAATCCACCCGACTTGAGCATTTAAACGGGCAGTTGACATAACTGTAGTGATTGAATGTTTTAGGATTATAAAAAACTAAAACTAAAAAGTTAGAACATCAATAAGAATGATGAGCATGTGAACTCCCTGAGTAAAAGGTCAGACGTTCTTTTCTTCTTTTTGCTTTTACTGAAGTATAAGATGCATATTGGATCATCTCAAATGAAGTTCTGCTGAAACCAATAAAGACATTCTGAAGTTTTTCAGTTTTATCCAAATTGTAAGGCTATGATAATTAGTTGAAAAATAAATAAATAAATATTACATTAAAAAATGATTAATGAATTAAAAACGATTAAATACAGAAAATGCAAAAAAAACGACAAGTCTGAGTAAATGCCACATCAAAGGAAATTCTTGGTCTAATATTTTTATGGGTGATTATACGTTTTGGGTTATGTGTGCAACTACATGTTCACATATGTAGTTCCTTTTAAATATCATCTGATACTTTTATCTGTTCTTAAGATAATTAGTTACACATAAATCTGACTCAATCTCAATCTGATAAGCCTAATCACATCCTCTGTACTCAAAAAGAAAAAGCACTTGTTAGTGGTGCTTGCTAAAGTAAAAGAAAAGTATCATTATTACAATCACTCATACTGTGGGTTAGTGATTTAAACAAATCTAAGTACCAAATTGTTGCAGCATAACTTGACCTGCACCAGTTATTCCAATTATACCTCAAAATGTGATGCTTGTTGAGGAGAAGTAAGCCATTAGCTTTGTACATAATAAAGTGTGAAGGAACTACAGACTTTAATAGAGAGGCCAGAACTATCTAGAATAGTAGTGCTCAACAAGGGGACTTCAATCAATTTCCAAGGGGACTACAGGATGACTTTAAATTATTTCAATGTACATAGTATTATGAATGTATTTAATTTATCAGGTATATATTTTCCCCCTCAATTAAGATACATTTCTTTAAAATTCTGGAATCATACAATAATACTATAATAATACATGCTCATATAATAATACTACACCCACAACACTGTGGCGGCAAAGCTACATATTCTTCAGATCAATAGTGTTCTCCTTCAGATCCTGTCATCACATAAACTTCACTTGTCATCTGAAGATGGAGGAGAGCCAGAGAACAACTGGATGCCGCATCTCTCCATTAGGCTGTCATAGCTCATTAAACCCCGGCCCGCTTTCAAGTTTATATTCAGAGTGTGTTCGCCTGCAACACGGGGTAAACATTTTGCGTGTTTGTAACCAAGTGAAAGAAGTTATTAGTGGCAATAAATGGTTGTGTGGCTCGTAAAAGGTCAGAATAGTGGAAAAAAAAAATTTTGCAACCAAAAAATAAAAAAATCAAATATTGCGAAATGAAATTGAACCCAATCCAAATCCAGCCCTACACCAAACATGACTTTTCGTGGCCTTAGCCCTTGGCTCGATAACAACGGAAGGATGTGAGCAGAACACAAATGAACCCGAAGCTCTGATTAGAGGAATACTGTTTTCTGAAACAGGAGGGGGACAGCTTTGTGTTTAAACTATGAGACCAACTCCCATATACAGCAGGACAGAGGAATGTGTATCTGATTACATTCTGCCTGCTCAGCCTCCGGCTCTCCCATGTAAACAGTCACCTGATTGAGAGAGAGAGAGAGAGAGAGAGAGAGAGAGAGAGAGAGAGAGAGAGAGAGAGAGAGAGAGAGAGAGAGAGAGAGAGAGAGAGAGAGAGAGAGAGAGAGAGAGAGAGAGAGAGAGAGAGAGAGAGAGAGAGAGAGAGAGAGAGAGAGAGAGAGAGAGAGAGAAGAGAGCGAGAGAGAGAGAGAGAGAGAGAGAGAGAGAGAGAGAGAGAGACAGAGAGGCTGAGGGGGGCCGAGAGAGAGGGAGAAGAATTACATCAGTGTGCTGGTAAAGAGAAATGTGGGTTCACTGCAGTGAGATGCCTTAAACCCATGTGAAGAGAGAGAGAGAGGGGGGTGTGCTGTTCATACAGTTTCATTCATTTAGAAGGGACCTGCTAATGACACCTGTTCAAACACAGTTCACTCTCACTCTCGTTCACTCTCGCTCTATCCGTCTGAAAGAGTCTCAGCCTGCAGAAGACCACCGGGGGGAGGGCCACCCACCACTGGGCTGCCTTGCATGTTGTAACCCCTGTAACATCATGAAGCTGACAAGTTATCAATACTTTAGTCATCGCCCCACACACCCAGACACTGTCCAAACTGCTTAACATGACCTCTAGCCTGAATAAAAAAAACGCCTTGGGCTTTGAAATCTGTACAACAGAAACGGATGGATCTCACCACACCTAACTTCCGTTTTCGGAGAGAACATGGAGTGAAAGTTGAGACGGCAAGCAAAAAAAGATGAGTCACAATGCACAATGATATATGAGCTCTCATGTAGTTTTGGTAACACTTTACAATAGGGTTTAATCACTTAAAATGCATTTGGTAACATTAACATTAAACAACAGTTATACAACATGAACAACTACTAATCTAGGTTAATGTAATAAATATACTTTTGCTCATTATAAATTCAGTTTTCATTAAAAGTTTGAAAGAAATGAATATTTTCATTCAGAAATTATGCATTAAATTGATCAAAAGTGACGGTAAAGACATTTACAATGTTACAGAAGATTTCTATTTCAAATAAATGCTTTTCCTCTAAGCCTCCTATTTATTTTATGGTTTCCACAAAAATATTAAGCAGCACAACTGTTTTCAACATTGATAATAATAAGAAATGTTTCTTGGGCACCAAATTAGAATGATTATTGAAGGATCATGCGACACTGAAGACTGGAGTGATGACTGCTGAAAAGCTTTGCTATCACAGCAATATATTACATTTTAAAATACATTTCAACAGTTACTTTAAATTGTAATAATATTCACAATATGACTGTATTTAATGTATTTTTGATCAAATGCAGCCTTGGTGAGCATAAGAGACTTCTTTCAAAAGCATTTTAAAAATGGTCATATATTTTTATTTATATAACTTGACGTGCTAAAAATGTACTAAAACTAAGATTAATAAAAAATCAAAGTACCTCTAAAGTGCTGTTCACTAAGCTTACAATTACATTTCATATTTCAAATCACCAATGAAATCTGACAATAACTGTCTCATAAATGTTGTTTCTCTTGCTCAAATATCAAATAGCATGTGCAGTCCTAAGCGGACGTCTCCAGAATGCTGACTGTTTCTATAGCAACCGGGACTTCTAACGGCAGCTGCAGTGACGTGATGACTTATACCGATTATCGATTGACTATTTTATTCAGAAGGCGGGGCTTCCTTCGATAGACTGGTCATATTGTGTTGCAGAGTGTTGCATTTTTGCCCATTGTGAGTGACACGTCTTGGGTATTTTATAGTCTTTTATCAAATATTGTTTATTAGTTAAGTACCATAAACTAACAATGTTCAACTGAACTGCTGTAAATTTTTGACAATCACGGGTCATTTGATGTCATCAAGCTCTTTTTTTAATGATCATTTTTTTAAATCATTTTTTTTATGTTCTGTGGAACATAAAATAAGATATTTTGAGAAATGTGTCAGTATTTCATTTTTGTGGTAAACTGTTCCTTCAACATGCCAATACTTGGGAAAATGGCAGTTACCACCAGATTGAAGGTGATTTTTCTGTGGCACCAAAATTGCAAACAATAATAGTGTTAAACACTATCCTGTTTTCCATTGGTCGACAAACAGACAGTATCGCCTCGTGCCATTGGTTAGGTCAATATGGCTGTGTTGAGCTTGTCAAGATGCTCACAAAAGCCACTTTTTGGATAAATCTCAATAGTCGTCTAAAAGCTAGAAGACAGGTACAAAAGGTGTTTTAACATCATAAAAAAAAGACACTTTACCTTTAACTAAGTTTCAGTATCAGAACTGAACCACGTGTTTAATGTTATTCCCTGTGAATCAGTCAGAGACCGAAGTTATGACGCCAACCGAACCCGATGCCAGTTTTCATTTTTCTTCTCTCTCTCTGGCCTCTCTCTGCCCGATATGTCACAGCTGCTTTGGAAAGCCGTCCCACTGGCTACCCGGGAAACGGGACGAGGCAGTGAAGAACGGGATCAGCTGCCCCTGTCCTCCCCTCTTTACTTTCTTCTCTCAACAAAAGCTCATTCCCACCCACAAACCCCTTAAAAATTAACTATTTGCTATTCTCCACAGTAACAAGTTGAACTGTAGCACACAGACCAAACAATGAAGCAAAACTTGACACACATCTTACCGTGGAGGTGGTGATGGTGGTTCTGCTGGTTGTTCTCCAGGCCCAGAGGGTTGCACGCCCCCAACTCGGCCAGTCTGCGGCTGGTTGCGGAGAGCTCTGAGCGAAGGTTGGTCACCTCCTGGCTGGCTGACTGGATGGCCCCATCAATCCGCTGAGCCAGCTGCTTGTTGTCCTCCATCATTTTCAGGATTTTGCCCTGAGAAGCAAATCCACACAGAGTTGCATGGTGTCAAGGGCTCTGTCAGGGGGTAGAACAAGCCGCGGGTCCCCGGTCCCCCTTTATCCCTCCTGGGCTGCCACAGTTTAGACCATACATACGAAACACACGCTGAAGAAGAGGAAAAAAAATCCCAAGTCTGACTCCCCTCCTCCTTATCCCAGCAGAAAAGACCTAATCACTACCTGTCCTCTCTTAGTGTTTGAAAGACAGCTGAGCGTGAGGTAGATTAAGAGAGAGAGAGAGAGAGAGAGAGAGAGAGAGAGCGTGTGAAAGAATGTAACAGACAAACGAAACAGCAGGTAGAGAGGAGTGAGAGAGAGTTCCCACTGAAAAACCGCGCTCCCAGCAGCTGCTTCCAGAGGGAACACAGTGCATTGAGAGATGACATGCTCTCTTTTAAACGGAACGTACCATGTGCGCCAGATTTCTGGGGGAGAGAGGGAGGGAGCTAAAGTGTGATGTTTCTGAAACTCTGTGAACTTCAGGCTTTGCCTTGGAGAGCTTCCCCGATCGGAGCAGTTTGTAATGAGAAAGTAACTGCTCTTATGTGGCCAAGGTGGGAAATAAATAAGACTTTTTAGCACTTCCTTGATCCCTTGACAAACACTTGTCAGGCTGGATAAATCTATTCTCTCTGACAAACACGCTCCCACCCCTTTCCCTTTCTGTTCATTACATATTCATTCTTTTGTCCCTGGGAAATGCTCCCCCACGCTTGAGGTTGCGGATGGGGGTGGGTCGACTCAACTCAGAGGGAGAGGAACCGGGCAGACCTCTGCGCTGGACACGAGGGACAGCTATTAGTCCGGCCCCCTGCACGCAGGAAGTGAAGAGAATTACACTGAAAGCAATCAATCTCCTCGCAGGGTCAAAAGTTTGGGGCTGATTTTCAAAAGCCCTCTGGTCTTCAGAAGCAGACCCAAAATGGTTTACCCTTTCCCAGAAGTCTTACGCAACAGATTGAAAAGTCTTATGTCCTTTAGATATGGGAATCAAAGAAGCTCCTATGCTGTTCAGTGAGACGCTGGTCTATTACTTTTTGATGAACCTTAAATGCCCCATCACCTATCCCAAATATTTAGCCTTTTGAACAAGAGGTGTGGGAACCATTAGATCTTTAATGTATGCATTTGGCAGATTATCCAAATAGTTTTATTATATAAATTCATGCATTAATAAAAATAAAAATAAAATAAAATTAGTTTTTAAAAATATAAATATAATACATTAAATAAAATGTCTGCTTTTATCCAAAACGCATTGCATTCAAAGTCTACATTATATCAATTCATGCATTAACTGAGGCAAAATAATAATAAAAGAAAAAAAAATATGCATTTGGCAGATGCTTTCATCTAAAGTGAGTTATATTCCATTTAAGGTCTACATTATATTAATGTATAAACTGGAGTAACATCATAATAATGATAAAAAAAACGAAATAAAAAATAAACTATTTATGCATTTGTCAGATGCTTTCATCTAAAGTGAATTGCACTGCAATTCATTCTATCAATTAATGTATTTACTAGGAATAATAATAGTAATAATAATAATAATAATAATAATAATAATAATAAAATGTAAAAAATAATTTATGCATTTGGCAGATGCTTTTACCCAAAACATTGCATTCAAAGTACACATTTTATTGATTCATTCATTACCTGGGGAAAAACGTAACAAAACAAAACAAAATAATAGGAAAATACAATAATAGGAAAATAAAACCATTTCTGTCCAATAAAATGCCAGCCATTGATTAGCAATAGCAAGGTCAATTCATGATGTAAACTAAAACCAATTATGCTGATATGTCCTCATCAATCTATTTCATGGGTCTTTAATTTTAAACTGAAAAGAGCCAATCTAGATGAATGCCTTCATCACCTGATAGAGGGTACCATAATGAAGGAACATCAAAGCTTTATTTGAGAGTATACTTACTAAATGAAGACCAAATGCATGTGCAGAGACAAACAGAAACTTGACTGGAGTATGCACATTTTAAGTGAATTGGATTGACTGCCAATCATCTGGTTTGAATCAAGGGTGGCAGAGCATTGTTCCAGGTGAATTTAACCCCTGCTTATGACTATAATCAACACCGGCTCCTATCGGAGTGGCTTTTACATTCCCCAAGCAAAACATTGGCTGAAAATAAGCAAAATCACTCAATTCCTAGAGCAAATTGATGGGGGTGTGAGTGAGAGAAGCAAATCTGGTGAACCATCACACCAAAAACAGCGAACACCTATCATTTCACGGCTCTGACTGAGAAACATCCTCATTGGTATTCACAGTAAGCGATGTCAGAAATGAATGGGGCACAACAGAGGAATCCACACTAAAAACAAGCATAAAATTTGACAGTTTATGACAACAAACTAAGTGTTTACTGTCTGTGGATTTTCATTTGTATCCATCTCACTCATGATTGAGAGATGGCTCAAATGTAACGCTATAAAAACAGCGAAAGTCGCAAAGTTTTTTAGTAGGTTCCAAATTGATTGATTTCCATCAGAAATGAGCTGGAAAGAGCGCCACATCTGCTGTGCGAACACCATTCATGCTGAGATTCAGGCTGCAGCTGAAAAAGGCAGTGAGGCAGAGCTTTGTTTTCAAATCCCATCCCTGAAACCACTATAGTCACTCAAAAGAAAGAGAGAGAAAGTTAGAAAGAGAACGAGAAAGAAAAAGAAACATGTTTGGGAAACTCTAGTCCAGTGCATTTCATATTCTGTGGCTTTTCCATTCCACAGAAGACAGAGAAAATCTCAGTCGTATTAAAAGTCACCTCCATTGACTGGAACACACCAGGCCACACAAAGGACCCGGAGTGAACAATGCTGAATGTCAAATGCTCTTCTTTTGAACTTTCTATTCACCAAAGAATCCTGAAAAATCTTCACCGTTTCCACAAAATTATTTGACAGCATGACTGTTTTCAAAATTGATGATAAGAAGAAGTGTTTCTTGCGCACCAAATCAGCATCTTTGCCATCACAGGAATAAATTACATTGTAAAATATATTTAAATAGAAACCAGTTGTTTTTATATTTTGTAATAATATTTCACAATAGTACTGTTTTTACTATATTTTTTATTTTTGATGAGCATAAAAGGTCACAAACATTAAAAAAAAAATGACCTCAAAATTTTGAACGGCAGTGTGTGTGTGTATGTATATATGTATCCTGTCTCAAAAACAAAAATACGGACAAAAAATGACAAAACAAATATCACAAATTCTATTTTCAAATTTTCATTTGTAAAAGTAAGCTTTTATTCATTAAACATGTAAATTAAACACTAGTTAGCGATAACATTATAGACAGCCCTGAACAGTGCAGCAGTTCAACGAGACTGGAGCTGTCAGGGTGTATGCTGAGTGTGAGCGGTAGGGCTGAACGATTATGACAAAAATATGTAACGCTATAAAAACAGCGAAAGTCGCAAAGTTTTTTAGTAGGTTCCAAATTGATTGATTTCCATCAGAAATGAGCTGGAAAGAGCGCCACATCTGCTGTGCGAACACCATTCATGCTGAGATTCAGGCTGCAGCTGAAAAAGGCAGTGAGGCAGAGCTTTGTTTTCAAATCCCATCCCTGAAACCACTATAGTCACTCAAAAGAAAGAGAGAGAAAGTTAGAAAGAGAACGAGAAAGAAAAAGAAACATGTTTGGGAAACTCTAGTCCAGTGCATTTCATATTCTGTGGCTTTTCCATTCCACAGAAGACAGAGAAAATCTCAGTCGTATTAAAAGTCACCTACATTGACTGGAACACACCAGGCCACACAAAGGACCCGGAGTGAACAATGCTGAATGTCAGTGGGAAAAGACAAAGGGCAGGAACTGGACAGCTAACAGTTGTTCCATGGCTTATACAGCAAGGCTTTTCCCCAGGCTTTGCTGTTGTCACCTGCCTTTTGCCAAGAATATGCACAGGCCGCTAGCCAAACAGAGTCAGCTCTGCAGTCAAGGGTGCTTTCATGCTGCCTTAAATTCTTTAAGAAAACGCTCAGAACTGCCAATGCAAAGGTTTGATTCACAAACATGCTAAAAACTTTTGCATCAGGTTTTTTATGATGGTTATCATGTAAGATGGTTATTAGTATATGATGGTTATCCGGTCGCTGTAAAGTACATCTGCTAACAAAAAGTAACATGACATCATGACAGCTCTGATTGGCAAGAACACACAATCACTAACCTTTCATTATCAACTATACTAAGGTGTGATATGAAGAAAAATATGTATATAATATATAACATTTTAAGGTTTAAGGCAAGTAAGATTTTATATATATATATATATATATATATATATAACAACGATACATTACAATGATCAAAAGTGACAGTACAAACTTTCAAAAGATATACTTCAAACAAATGCTGTTATTTTGAACTTTCTGTTAATCTGATCATTCTAAAAACAAACAAAAAATGTATCTGGGTTTCCACAAAAATATTAAGTACATGTTTTCAACATTGATAATAATAAGATAATTTTCTTGAGCACCAGATCAGCATATTTGAATGATTTCTGAAGGATCATGCGACCCTGAAGACTGCAGTAATGGCTGCTGAAAATTCACCATTGCCATCATAGGCATAAATTACATTTTAAAATATATTTAAAAGCTCTTCAAATATTACTATTTTTGACTGTTTTTTGTTTTTTTGTGATCAAATAAATTCAGCCTTGGTGAGCATAAGAGACTTTCAAAAACAAAAAATAACAGCATATGAAACACTTTGAACACTTTGTTAAACTAAAAGCTCCTAAGCATGTTTTTATATTTTTATGTACCTTTCACATTGTAAAGTCCAATCTAGACTTTGTCAGGTAATCAGTCTCAATTTGTGTTACTGTTTACAGTAGCTGTGAGGGGGGCTGAGCAGGTTTATGCAGTTTGTCTAGGTGTTTACTGTCAGACTCATTGTTTACTTTTGAGCAAGGTCTGCTG